GCTGATCGATGTTTCTCTCTCATCGATGTTTCTAACTCTCTATCTCTCTCTCTTCCTCTCTGTAAAAAATCAATAAAATATATTTTTAAAAAAAGAAATATTATTTTTAAAATATATTTTTATTAATTTCAGAGAGTAAAGGAGAGGTAGAGAGCGATAGAAACATTAATGATGAAAGGGAAGTATTGATTGGTTGCCTCCTGTACTCCCCCTACTGGGGATCGAGTCCACAACCCAGGCATGTGCCCTGACCAGGAATCAAACCATGACCTCCTGGTTCATAGGTTGAAGCTCAAGCACTGAGCCACACTGGCCAGGTTGGAATATTATCCTATCCTATATAATAAAAGGCTAATATGCAAATTGACCAAACAGCAGGAAAAAAAAAACGGCAGAACAACCAGTCGCTATGACACGCACTGACCACCAGGGGGCAGACGCTCATCGCAGGAGCTGCCCCCTGGTGGTCATTGCACTCCTACAGGGGGAGCTCCACTCAGCCAGAAGCCAGGCTCAAAGCTGGCAAGCACAGTGGAGGTGGCGGGAGCCTCTGCAGCAGCGCTAAGGACCCCTCGGGGGTCCTGGACTGTGAGAGGGCACAAACTGGGCTGAGGGAGCCCCCTCCCCACCCCGCCATCCAGTGCACGAATGTCGTGCACCGGGCCTCTAGTTTTGCTATAAAAGAAATGAAGTGCTGATATACGCTATAACATGAATAAACCTTGAAAACATTTGTTAAGTGAAAGAAGTCAGACACAAAAAGCTACATACTGTATCATTCCATTAACATCAAAAGTTCAAAATGGTCATCTATAGAGACAGAAAGATTAGTGTTTGCCTAGGGCTGGGAAAGAGAGGTGGGAATGGGCAGTGACAGCTAATGGGTACGGTTCGTTTTTTGAGGCAAAAAAAATGGTTCTTTTAAATTAGAATGTAATGATGGTTGTAAACCATTGAGTTACATACTTTAAATGAGTGAATGTATGATATGTGAAGTATATCTCAACAAAGCTGTTAAAAAATGGAAAAAATAAAAAAAGTATTTAGGTCTTAGCAAATTGCTGAGTTCTAATAGGTCTGGTAGCTTAACATGAAAAGTCAAACCAAGCAAGTCCCTTGGTCTGAATCTCTAGCGAAGGAGGGATTCTCTAAATTTTGTTCTAATTCCTGGGCTCAGCAGAATCAGTCCAAACCTCTATTTTTAAATCTGCCATAAATGTATTGTTTCTTTAATTCCTGGGTGAAGAGGGCTAATTTCCTAAATGTCTGTTCATTGAGGGGGAAGTTCCTGACAGCATACCTAGGCAACTTATTTCTCTTTTGCTTTGATTTCATCATATCTAAAATGGTAACAATAATACCGTATTTTTCCATATAGAAGATGCTATTTTTTTCTAAAATCATTAGACTGAAAATTGAGGGGTGTCTTATACATAGAAGTAAGCTGAGGAGGGAGCTGCACGGGTGTGTAGCTGCCCATACCTTGTCAAACAGGCTTCTTCCAATCATGAGCCTTATTGTTACTGATGTAGGTGGAGGTGGAGATTGAGCAGATGCAACAGGGACCAGAGCATTCTGAGCCCATAAAGATGTCAAAAAATAAAAAGATAAATACCGGTAAGCAATTGTCTTACTCTGCAAAATTCAAACTGAATGTAATCAGCTATGCAAAAGAGCATGGAAATAGAGCTGCAGAGAGACAATTTGGACGTCCTCCCACTGAGTGTATGATCAGGCAGTGGAGAAAACAGGAAGAACAACTCCTTAAGATGCCAAAAAAGAAGAAGGCCTTAAGAGGAAAACCAGCAAAATGGGTAAACTTGGAGCAGAGGCTTGGACTTGGATTATGGAGCAGTGCCAGAGTGGCTTATGTGTGTCAACCAAGCTTATTCAATATCAGGCAAGAGTGTTTGCAAGCACCCTAACTGGTTTGGCTCAGTGGATAGAGCATTGGCCTGTGGACTGAAAGGTCCCAGGTTCAATTCCGGTCAAGGGCATGTACCTTGGTTGTGGGCACATCCCCAGTAGGAGGTGTGCAGGAGGCAGCTGATCGATGTTTCTCTCT